CTGTTGTAAATTACAAATTGTTAGAGGGACATAGAGGAGAAAGCAGCTAACTGCTTGAGAGGATCAGAAAAGGAGATAGACAAAAGAGCATTAGCTAGACAGAAAAGGCGAAAGAAAATTCTTATCAGATAAATAAGCTTGTACTAAGGCAAGGAGACATGAAAGATAAAGATACTTAAGAACCATGAGTGGTTTGGTTTGTTAGGGTGTGTTGTAGTAACTGACAAAGATGGAAAAAGTAGGGTGACTGCAGGACTGTATATGAGAATAAAGAGTGTAAGTCTATACTGTTTTGTTGAGGGGGTCCAGTGGTTCTGAAACTTGAAACCTGCTTTAATGGTACAGTACCTTGAAGCCCAAGGCTCGCATCAGGAAATAACAGTATATTGAATTCCACCATGAAACTAGGCACAATTTTCCTAACAGAAATTAGACAGGAGAATGCAATATAACAATCAGAATTCTGTGCATACTTATCTACAACAAAGCTATTGACATAAGCACATTTGAGTTTTTCTGATTTTGCCGTTAATAATCACCTACTAAATTCATGTGTGTTTAATTATCAGTAGCACTATCAGATAAGAGATATCATAGGCTCAGGAAAACTGTGTGGGAAAAATTAAAATTGATTTTAAAATTCTATACATTAATTTAAGGAGCTCTGGTAGCATAGTGCCTAAGGCACTTGACTGCCAACCAGAAGGCTGGCGGTTCAAACCTACCAGCCACTCCTCAGAAGGAAGGTTGGGCAATCCTACTTCCGTAGTGATACTGCCTCGGAAACCCAAGGAGGGGTCGCTACGAGTTGGGTCCGACTCGACGGAAAACAACAACAACATACATTAATTTGATTATCAGAGTTAGCATGCTTTGAGAACTACTGCAAAAGGAGTGGCAAAGCAGGGGAGTTATGTGATTGGATTTGTTTTACAAGGTAGGAGCCAACTGCAGATGATGGTCTGAAGCAAATCAGATGCCCTGGCAGTGGAGATGATCCAAAACCTGTTACCATGGAGTCGATTACAACTCATAGCAACCTTATAAGACAAAGTTAGAAATGCCGCATGGGGTTCCAAGGCTATGAATCTTTACAAAAGCAAACTGCTACATCTTTCTCCTGTGGAGTGGCTGCTGGGTTTGTACCACCAACCTTTCAATTAGCAGCTGAGGGCTTAACCATTCTGCCACCAGGGCTCCTTAGTGGAGATGATACCACACCCAAACAAACTTAACTGCCATCAAGTTGATTCTGACTCATAGAGACCCTCATTGGGTTTCCGGGCTGTAAATCTTTACAGAAACAGACTGCCTCATCTTCTGTGGAGCAGCTGTTAGCGTAGTGCCTGAGGCACTTGACTGCTAACCAGAAGGCTGGCGGTTCAAACCCACCAGCCACTCCTCAGAAGGAAGATGGGGTAATCTACTTCCATAGTGATACTGCCTTGGAAACCCAAGGAGGGGTTGCTATGAGTCGGGTCTGACTCAACAGCACATAACAACAATATTTTTAGCAGTCATCAAGATGCTGATGATAGCTGAATCCATGGAAGAGAATGAATTTTCTGAAAGATGATGTATAGAATAAGCTGAGAAGGTTAGGGACTTGCAGGGTTTGATACTTTTAAGACCATCCCATTTGTGGTATATTCTTGTCAGAGTGGCACAAGGTAACCAGAACAGATTTGGTACCGAGAGAGTGGGGTGCTGTACTGAAGATGCCTAAAATGTGGAAACAGGAGTGGAGTGCATCCTTGACCTGAGACCCTGGCAGAGAGACCCTGGCCTAGGGCAATGAGAGACAGCAGGAGCACAGCCAAGAGACCAGCATGAGAGACAGCAGGAGAAGAGCCCAGAGACCGACATTAAACAGCAACAGGCTTACCAGGCCACGGAGGAGAGAGCCTGGTGCCATTAGGTAGACAGCTTCCTGGCGGAGTAGGTTGCCTTTGGGTGTTAATTGGTAGAAAAGACCAGCATAAAATGGAGTAGCAGGTTGACCAGCCCACAGAGCGAGAAAGCTAAGTGCTTTTGGGGCAGGAAGTTTTCCAGCTGAGTGGGTTGTCTTTGGCATTAATCAGCAGAAGCAGAGAAACCAAGGAAACAGAAGCAGAGCTGCCTCAGCCTGGAAGGGTAGGACCCTGGGTTTCAAAGAGCCAGGCTTTCACCAACTTGGTTCTGGAGTGTGGGGCTGCTCGTTCATGTGAGCCAGTGGG